ATGGCATTGGCACAAAAACAGAAATATAGATCAATGGAACAGGATAGAAAGCCAAGAAATAAACCAATGCACCTATGGTCCATTACTCTATGACAAAGGAGGCAAGACTATATAATGGAGATAAATGGTGCTGGGAATACTGGACAGCTACATGTAAAAGAATGAAATTAGAACATTCTTTAACACCATACACAAAAATAAACTACATGTAGTATTATTTCGGAAGGCCTTTTCTGGTTATCATAAACTCTCATAACACAGAGGACTATGACTTACATTCCAGCAGAACAACCAGTGTATGTAGTGTGTCCAGTACAAACTGACCTTCAATTTCCCACATCCAAAGGTCATCTTTATCTAGAAAGTTTGGGGAAAGAAGAATTTTATCTTTGTTCCTCCTAATTTGGCCATTCAGAGTTTCTCCTCAGTGCCACATGCTCCTCCCTGACAGTACAGACATGCTTTGAAGAATGCTTTGACCTAACTTAGTGTTCCTTGGTACAGAGATGTTTTATCCATAGGATGCTGGCACACACGTGGTGGTAGAGGGAAAATCTCTAGTCATACATACCCTATGACTAATTTCCCAGCAGAATTGCATCTAAGAAATTCAACTGTTCATAGGGGTTCCATATGGGTGCAGTACATTTTCTAACTGTTTTCCTTGTAGACCATACCTGCTGTCTTGCTTTTATCTTTCCTTTTATCTTAGAAGGGGAATATGTAATTCTTTTTGAACTATTTTAGAATACTTTTGGTGTAATTTACAAGGGACAGTTGCCTTCAATTTGACTAAAACAAAATTATTGATGGTTTTAGCAGTCTGGAATATAATTTTTTCATTATATTTAAACTCAAATGAGTGTGGTCAAGGGATTATGGGAATCACTGATAAATATTTGATCCTATGTATTTATACACACACAAATACAATAAAGGCAAATTAACATTGATTCAGGGAACTGGTGAAGTTTTTGATACTCCTAAATTTTATAATTGGAGATTAAAGAATGTGGAAGTTATAAATGAATGGAATGAGTGCAGAGCCCCTGGCAGAATGGAAAGAGCTTTGGTTTAAGAATCAGAAACCTATACCCTAGTCATAGCAGCACTTCTAATTATCTGCATGATATGGGCAAGTTAATCTCTTTGAGTCTCATTTACTTTACCTACAATAGAAATTGACTGGATGAGATTAAGCATAATATTTAAATTTCTAACTATTCTTTGGTAATTAGCATTTATTCAATGAAAGTATGATGATGGATAGATTTGTATGAATTGGTTACCACTTAGGGTTAACTACCACATACTCAGTTATTTTTTGTGTGTGTCGTTAATAGTAGAACAATAATTTTATTTTCTTTCACTAATAAACTAATATGACTAGTGTTCTATTAATCACATAGCATGATTTAAAGTTTGTATAGTTCTTAAAATGAAATATTAAAAACTAGATGGAATATGTTCTAAGTCTAATCAGAAGAATGAGACTATTTTTTGGTCTTTCATATAACTTCTGTCCCCAGTAGTGGCTGCGATCTTGAACACCCATTGATGAACTGTACTTTAGTTTGAATTTCAAATGAGAAGGTTGAAGAAAAGTAGCTTGAGTTTTTTGGGGGAGGAGAAGATGGTGGAGCATCAAATTCTGATTTAAGGAATTATCACTCTTTTTGGTTAGATTAAATATGCTTTGCTTTTTTTTCTTTTAATCTGTAAATTAAGGGGATGATCTTTAAAGTCTGTACTAGTTCTCACATTGTGGACTTTTCCTTTTGATTTTACAGCAGTAAACTTTCTACTGAAATTAGTATCTTTTGTACATAGTTTTCTACTCCTTGTTATGTCTCTTTCTGTTTATAATAAATTCACATATTTTTTTCCTCCTAGGGAGGAGTATATTTTTAATTGTTTTTATTTGACTGGAAACTTCAGGACCCCATCAGCCTCCACTCCCATTAGCTTCCATTGCTAAGGGATATTTCCGTTAATATATTTGACAGAGAAAGTCTGTGACTCAACTCTTATTATTTTCAGAGCTTGTGTGGTCTCAGGAAATAGCCACTTAGGGTTATGTTTAATAATGATTGCTTTGATGATCATGATTAACCAAAGTATCTGAGATCAACTCCTCAGCATAAAACATTTCTTCCTATAAATGCTTTGGACAGTGATTAGATTGAGGAAAAGATCAGACGTGATTGAGTTTTGCCTTCTTTGGACTCCCTATTAATAGTATTCAGGTATTTTCCTGCCATCTAGGTGTCCAGAGGTAGAAGAAAGAAATGTGCATCTGACCCCATGGGAGGAGACTATGTTTGTTTTTGTGAAGATAAAAGAGAAGACAAAATATACCTTGATGGAAAGTTTACTTCAATGTTTACACAATACAATTTTCTGGATCCTGTATCCAGGCAGTCATGACAATAAGTTCAAAAGTAGTAGTACAGAGTTCCAGTGGTGGCACAAAAGATGCAAATATTCTGAATCTTCAAGTACTACAACATTCTTTGTTCAGGACATGGAATGTATTATAATGTTATTAGGGAAATTTTGGCTCCTAAACCATGTCTCTTAGCTTCCTGGTTAGGTTTGTTAACATTCAATTAAAACAATCTGGAATATCCAAAATTTAAGTCTCAGAAATTTTTTAAATGCTCACTTTATTCCAGAGCACCCAATCACTTTGTCATATCATTCTAAATGTAGTCCCAAATTCAATTTACTTCTTCCATCCACTATTTTCTAACCAAAGAGCTCAATGATTATGGAGCCTTACAAAAAAGCTTTGCACCAAACAAAAGAAATAGAATACAGTGCTACAGTTAAAATAAAAGATCAGACATATACCTCCACTACCAAAAGAAAGGACCATGTTAAATATCTTAATCCCATGTTGTGTATCTCATTTCTCCTCTGGGTTAGTTCTTATCTTGAGTTAGTTTGTTTTCCTTTGGTTTCAAATTATTATTCAAAGTAATAGCACCTTTGTTCTTGGACATACTCACAGAGTGGGGTGTTGCTATCTAAGTAAAAGGAACCAGAGTCTGTTCTCTCTCTTCCATGGTAACCTCTGGCCTCAGAGTCTCTTGTCTGCTTATCATCCACATCCTGACTCTATCTTCTCATGGTCCCTGACTGACTCGATCCAGACTCTTGCGTTTGCCTTTCCCCACTCCATGTGTTTATACTGCTTGATAAATACCTATATCTATACTCTTCAGTTACCATAGGGTCTTGGCTATCAAGTGAGTGACTGCCACTTGACTGCTCATAGCTGTCACTTGATTGACCATGACTATATACTTGTCTATCATTGGTGCTGAATCCAGATTGACCCTGGATATCTCCTGATTGTCCATCACTTGATCCCTGTGTTGCTAAATTTGTGCTGGATCATAGCAACTCATGAGATGTATCTCCCAAGAGCTGCTGGCTGGATCCATGTATACCTATTGTATTGAACTCTGATTGTCTATGCCTCAATCCTAATTGTTCATGAATCTTTTCCCCACAATCTTCTGAATGCCCTGTACTATCACTATGGGATCCTTGCCTCCTAGTTGAACTAAAATCTGAATGGCTGTGAGCTGCTAAGGATTTTCCATGGCCAGATACAGAGTGGTCACTTGGCTGACTGCTATGAGTGGATCCCTGCCTTCCAGATTGAACATGGATGTCTCTTGACTGTTTCTGTGTTGGTACTGAATGCCCATGGCTAGATCCCTGCCTTCTAGTTATACTGAATCCAGAATGATTATGGGAATCAGCTGACTGCCTTGTCTTTGACTGTCCATGACTTGAATCTTGTCTTCTTGCTCTGTTGCTTTTGATCCCGTATGGTCAAAACTAGAAACTGATTGTCCATGTCTAGACACTTGCTTGGTTGCAGCTCTATCTGTTGACCTCAAAGGACTAGAATTACGACTCCTTGTTCTGCTGGCCCCAGAAGGTCCATACCCAGACTGCCCATAGTCATATGCTGCACTTCCATAACTGCCATGTTTCCACCCTTGACCTGATCCATGTCTTTGTCTTCCACTAATCTGTGACTGAGAATGACATACCAGATTGAGCATGGCTGCTACTTGACTGTTTTTAGGCTATCCCTTGACTGCCTATGTGTATCATGTGACTGTGTGTGACTGGACCCATGTCTCTCTATTGTGCCAGATCCTAAATGTCCATGAGTAGATGTGGTCTGCCTACGAGCTGACTGTGAGTGTGTAGATTTGTCTCCTGTGTGTCCATGGAAAGATACCTCTTTCCCTGAACTTCTGGATCCTGATTGTTCATGAGTCAACATCTGCCCTTGATCTGATACTGAGCGCTTAGATGTATCTCCTGAATGTTCATGTGCTCTGCTTGTATTAGTGACTGAATGTTTGGGGGCAGACCCAGAATGTTCGTGAGTGTATTCTGAGAGTCTCTGTGAGACTTCTGAATGCCTTTCACTGTCACTGGACTCACTGTGACTAGATCCCTGTCTTCCAGCTGTACTGGATCCTGACCGTGTGGATTGTCTATGACTAGAGTGGACGTGTCTAGTGGTATCTCCTGACTGTTCATGAGCAGTTCCCTATCTCCCTCTAACTGTGGATCCTGACTGTCCATGTTGAGGTCCAGCCTGCCCATGAGCGGATCCTGAGTGTCTCTGAGACTTCTGAATGCCTTTCACTGTCGCTGGACACTGTGACTAGATCCCTGTCTTCCAACTGTATTGGACGTGGACTGTGTGGACTGTGTGGTGTCTCCTGACTGTCTGTGAGCAGTTCCCAGTCTCCCTTTACCTGTGGATCCTGACTCTCCATGTTGAGATCCAGTTTGCCCATGAACAGTTCTCTGTCTCTCTCTAACTGTGGATCCTGACTGGCCATGTTGAGATCCAACCTGCCCATGAGTGGATCCTGAGTGTCTGTGTGAGACTCCTGAATGCCTTTCACTGTCACTGAACTCACTCTGACTAATCCTTTTCTTCCACTTCTGCTGGATTCTTCTTATGCAGAATATAGACGACTAATCTCGTTATGTGTCATGGTATCCCTTGACTCACCATGAGTAGATTCTTGTCTTCTTGTGCTAGATCCTGATTGTTCATGGGTCATTGCTGTATCTCCATGACCTATACTAGAGTGTCTACTTCTCTCTCCTGATTGTCCATGGGTTGTATTTTTATTTCTACTTGTATTAGATCTCAATTCTCTATGGTCATTTCCAGAATGTCCATGGGTAAATGCTGAATATCTTTCCCAGTTATCTGACTTGCTTCACTGTCATTTGACTGGCTATGTGTTGTTTCCTGCCTTCTGGACGGTCTCCTTTCCTGACCTGATCCTGGCCTTTTCTGGCTATGTCCATGAATGCTGTCATTATTGTCAGTGTGACTTCCTGGTATACTGTGACCCCTGTTTCTTTCATTATCACTCTGAGTAGTTCTTTCCTGACTGCTTCCTCTTGTTTGACTGTGGGGTGAATTTGTTGTTGGTTTTCTACATATTGGACACTTTTTGCTTGAACTAGGCCCATTGCTTCCTTGTCTACTTACCCTAGATTTATTTTTGTCATAGCCAGAGGATTGACCTGGGCTAGACCCATGTTGTCCAAAGCCAGAAGACCGACTTGAACTTGACCCATGTTGGCTAAAGCCAGATGATTGACTTGAGCTAGACCCTTGTTGGCCATAGCCAGATTGCCCTGATCTAGACGCATGGTGTCCAAAGCTAGAGGACTGACCTGAGCCTGACCCATATTGTCCAAAGCCAGAGGATTTACCTGAGCCAGATCCATGTTGTCCAAAGCCAGAGGACTGACCTGGTCCAAACCCATGTTGTCCAAAGCCAGGAGACTGACCTGAGCTGGATCTATGTTGACCACATTTAGAAAATTCATTTGAACCAGGCCCTTTTTGGTGAGAATTTGAAGAGTATCCATGGGAACCAGATCCATGTTGAGCATAAATAGAAGACTGACGTACTCCAGACTCATATTGTCCACAACAAGAGGACTGACTTGAACTTGTTCCCTGTTGTCCTCCACAGTTCTGTGGCTGACCACATGCTCTAGATCCATATCCTCTCTGACTAGAAGACTGGCTACAGGAGCTAGGCTCATGTTGACCATATCCAGAGGACTGACTTCCTGAGATATATCTGTGACCTTCTTTTCCCCTACTTCCTGATTGATAACCTGATTGGGTATAGCTAGATTAGTTTCCTTGCCCTCCAAATCTACCTGCCTGACAAGAACTAGAAGCGTTTTGTAGCCTTCCACACCCACCTGAACTGCTGGAACCACATGCGTGGCTTTCCCTTCAACCATTTCCTGAACTTTTAGAGCTAGACCCAAGTTTTTGTCCTGCACTCCTTGACTAAGTAAAGTTTGAATCATGTTCACTATCATCTAATCCACGTGACAGACCACCATGACCTTTCCTTCCCCCACTCTTTGATCCAGATTCAGGTTCATATTCCTCCCCAGATTCCCTAGAGGGGCTAACATGTGACTTGTTTCTTTTTTCCTCCAGCTCTCCAGAGCTGGAACCATGTCTTTCTTTGCCACTACTCTATGAGTGACCAGAGCTGGACCCAAGGAGCCTTTTTTCAGATCCCTTTTGTCTCTCTGAGCTAGATAAACCACATTGCCTTCCCAGCCTCCTAGAGCTGGACCCACATCTATGTTTCACAGTTCCCCTCGAGCTCTCAGAACCATAACCATGCTCCTCTCCCTCACTGCAACTTGAATATCTGTAAACTGATTTTTGTCCGAATGTATCCTCTTCTTCCTCTTCTGCTTCATTTTCTTCCTCTTGGTGTCGGCGACCATGTCTGTGCTTCTTTGACCCTGAAGCTTTGCAGTATTCTTTGCTGAGAACCTTGTTGCAAGCCATAGCCAGCTTGAATACCATCAGAAGAAACTCAGTAAAGTCCACTCTTTGGTCATGATTTCGATCTAGCATATACATGATGACACCACTGTGTCTGGATCATCTGGGTTCTGTATACAAGCAACACATCAAAGGAGACCTGGTCAGCCTAGTCCATATTCTCAGCTAAAATATTTGGGTAGAGCTATAGAATTGTGAATGTTTGATGTTAGGTATTTTAATCCAACCAAGAAATAACTTTAGGCTAAGGCAGCCTAACAGCACCTAGCAGGTGTGAAGAGGTGATAGAAAGGAATAAAAGCTATTGGAATCCTCAGCAGGATACAGTTCAAGGACCTAAGCTAGAAAACTAGGTACTCAGGTATGGCATACAGGAAGGAGCTGAATAAACCAAGTTCAGTACCTGGTGTATTTTAGTTTTACATACATTTTAAGTCTTGCATACTAATATATTCTATGTTACGATCTATAATTTTTTTTTTTTTTTTTGCGTTACAGGGCCTCTCACTGTTTTGGCCTCTCCTTTTGTGGAGCACAGGCTCCGGACACCCAGGCTCAGCGGCCATGGCTCACGGGCCCAGCCGCTCTGCGGCATGTGGGATCTTCCTGGACCGGGGCATGAACCCGTGTCCCCTGCATCGGCAGGCGGACTCTCAACCACTGCGCCACCAGGGAAGCCCACGATCTATAATTTTGAAGCTAATAGTTGATGGAAGTAGATGAAAAAAATGCTTGTATTTTGTTTTCAGATTTTAGTCACCTTGGCTACTTGATTGACTCCCCTTATAGATGTTTTCCCTCTCTTACACCTTTTCTTCCTCGTTTACTAGGGTAATTTATAAATTGATATCTTAGCACAAATTTATTTTCTGCTATTTTAGAAGGAAAAACCTGGGGGCATGAAAAAGTCTGAAGGTCTGCATTGTGGGAGTGTACAGGAAAGTGAGGAAGAAAACATTCACCTTTCTAAAAGTAAACACTGCCTCAACAGACTTTTGGATGTCCTCAAAAAGTACTGCTCATAGAGTTAGCTCAAAGGCCATGGGGACTGTGCACTTTTTAGCTACTCTTTAGTCATATAACAGAGAATATACAGGACCCTAGCAGCTTTCAGTCCTGGCACATGGTCCTCACCTTCAGAACTGGACGAAACTCTTTCTCCAGGAGTTCCTTTAGTTCATCCTTGCTCAGTGTGCCACACTCCCCATCCTTCTTGGTGTATTTGTAGAAAACATCAGTGACAGTGACAACACTTCTCAAGAGGTTGGTCATCTTTTTGCAGCTTTAAGTGAACCTGAAGGAAAAGAAAGGATCCTATCATTCATTTTATTTTCTTTTAAATTCTAAACAGTTCTGATTTTAATAATCATCATCATGATTTTTCAAATATCTTGTCTCTTTTAAACCTAAAATACAACAACAAGTAAGGATAGGTCACGGATGTTACAACACACTTTAACACAGTGAAAACTAATTTTGTTAACTTTGAGTTATGTTACTAAGATCAAGTCATGGTATGTTACTGACTGAACTGGGACTAGATCTCAGATCTCCATGTCCTGGATGAATATATTCTTAACACAGTATCTCTACACTTTGTGTACTTTGGTTTTCTGGGTGTTAGCCTGGAGCTTCCAAGTCTTCTAGAACTGCCGAGATTTATTTCCCCAGTCTCTCTGGCTAGTTTCAATGGTTTTCTTGAGTCAAAAATAACAGACCTTCTAACATGAATACCTACCTCCCCTCTGGGTACCAGAAGCTAAACTGGACTGTAAAGGCATTTAACAAATTAAAAATGGGCAAAGTGGGCCAACACTATCCTGGTGCTTCAGAAGCATGAGATAGCCCTCATCAACGCTCAGGAGGTATCCTAACCTACGCCTTGACCAAACACTGTTCTCTTTCAATAATCAGGGGGAAAGAATCAGCAATGTAGGCAGTAGTTTGACTAGCGGATGATTAGATCTTGGAGCTCTGGAAATTGACACTGACCAAGGATGGGACTCTACAACAGTGCTGGTCTTTTCCCTATTTGAGCTAGACAACCCAGAAAACATGGCATGAAAAATAATTAGGAAGAGAGTATTGGAATGGCCTAGAAGAAGGCAGATTTCTACTTACATTATTCTTCTCCACAACAAAGACAGATTTATTCTAAAAATACCCTGGAATAAACTAAACTGACCAAACAAATAAGCAAATGAAAAGAAGAAAAAAGAAAGAAACAAAAATGAAGGAAGGCAGGGCTTCCCTGGTGGTGCAGTGGTTGAGAGTCCACCTGCCCATGCAGGGGACACGGGTTCGTGTCCCGGTCTGGGAAGATCCCACATGCCGTGGAGCAGCTGGGCCCGTGAGCCATGGCTGCTGAGCCTGCGCGTCCGGAGCCTGTGCTCCGCAACGGGAGAGGCCGCAACAGTGAGAGGCCCGTGTACTTCAAAAAAAAAAAAAGAAGAAGAAAGGCAGAAAGGCCAAATATATATTAACTCTGCCTTAGCTCATACCCCTGGATTTCTACCATGGGCAACAACCAACCAAATATCCATTGATATAGCTGGATGAATTTTCTCTCATCTGGTTCACCAAAGGAACAAGTAGGATAAAGCCTGATGCAGCTTGCAGGGTGACAACGGATTGAGCTAGTGGCCCTTATATAGCTAACATGTTGGTGCTGCCCTCTGTGGGATGGGCTGATTCATTTCAACAAACCTAAGTCCACCTCTGTGCATGTTTACTTTCCTACCTCTTCACATTCTCATCTCTGAGATGATTGCAGAAAGGCTGGTACCGGCCCACCTACCAGTATGAGGACACGTTGCACGACACTTTTCTCAGGGTCATACACTTGTGAAAAGCAGAGATTATGTTTTAGAGGACAAATGTAGTTCCATCCCTTTAGTACCCACCAAAAGTAGCAAAGTGTAAGATACTTGGCAGGTGTACGATAGATGCTTATTTAATTGAAAATGAACCTGGGCCATTAGGATAGCCTAGTTCACGTCTTTTTGCAATAATAATAGCTATTATTTATTGAGAATTTACTATGTACTAGGTATTGTGTTGAATTCTTTTCACATATCATCTCATTTAATCTCCACAACAATTTCTATGAGGTTTGTACTGTATTCCATTTTACAGATGAAGAAACATGGTCAGAGATCATAAGAGTCCTCTCCAAGGTCACACAGCTTGAAAGTGGAGGAACCAGTGTTTGAACCTATATCTACCTTATCATAATGCCTTTTCTTTTTTTTTCTTTTTTTTTCTTTTTTGCGATACGCGGGCCTCTCACTGTTGTGGCCTCTCCCGTTGCGGAGCACAGGCTCCAGACGTGCAGGCTCAGCGGCCATGGCTCACGGGCCCAGCCGCTCCGCGGCATGTGGGATATTCTCGGACCGGGCCACGAACCCGTGTCCCCTGCATCGGCAGGCGGACTCTCAACCACTGCGCCACCAGGGAAGCCCAATGCCTTTTCTTTTAACCATTATACTAGCGTACCTCTGCGTATCTATTACATACACCTATTGCACAAAAAATTATGCACTGTTTTAGGAAATACGTGAAAGAGTAATAAAAGGAGTGCTATCAGCCAGGAAGAGAAGAAACATACTCTCTGTCCCTGTGAAGGCTTTTTTCTAGGCTATAAAATTATGTCGATGGGCTATACATAAAAGTAGTTTTTTCAGAAGTGTTCAGGGTGAATTTAGAGTAGGCTTTCTTCTAGCATCCTGCTATCCATTGGTAGTCTGGCGGCTTTGGGCCCAGACCCTTGGGAAAATGTCATTTATATACATAGAGTATATCAAATATAATGCCTGAGGGAATCGCCTGCCATGGCAGTTTTACATGCTTATATATTTATTCTTCACAATAATCCTGTGAGGTCTGTATTATTATCATTCTCATTTTACAGATAAGGAAATGAAAGCATAGAAAAATTGAATAATTTGTCCAAAATCACATCTAGTAAGTGGCAGCACTAGGATAGAAACCAATACTGTCCAATGCTAAAGCCTGTCACTTAACCATGTATATACGACATATTTTGGGTCGATCAATTCCTATCTGGGTGCTCCTTCAGGGAAGCCATTAATCTTATTTACCTCACTGTCTAGACAATGCCTACGACTTAGTTAACACTTAGAGAGAGTGTCTGCTCAAAAAATGTTAATGGATATACCACTGATGTATCCATTGCTCTCATAGCCAGGGAATCCCAGACCAAAACAACGACACAGAATGTTATGTTGTCTCTTGGATATTATGGTCATTTTCAATTGTATGCATTTTTTGGAATTGTGCTTGTTTTTGTTGAGATGACTCTTGTGTCAGGAGGACTTTCAGACCCCCAGACTCCACACTGAGGTAGACTTTTAAAGCCATCCTTTCACTGCAACTTGATTCTAGTTTAGAACTTTGAATCTAGTTCCATAGTTTGCCTGCTCTCAGAACTCTGCCACTCACGCTTTTATTTTTTGTGCTCTGATCTCTCTTCCTCTTTTGACTTGCAGATCATACTAAATAAAAGTATAGACTTAGGAGTCAGAAATATTTGAGTTCAGATTTCAGCTCTGTCTTTTACTGGTTGTGTTCCTTGGGCAATTATCTAATCCTCTGAGCCTCAGTTTTCCAATTTTTATAATAACACCTACCTCACTGGTGGAGATTACTTAAGATAACATGTGAAATTGTTTAGTACCTATCTGGCATATAATAAAGGTTAGTAAACGATATAATTATTGCAAGATACTTTAAAAATATTTTATAGCATCTATCACAGTGTTTTACACCTAGGAGGCACTCAATCATGTTTGATAAAAATAAATTAGGAGCTAACAGTTGGCTTTTAAAGGCAGAAATACTACTTATCTGTCAAAAGCATTGCCCCAGAAGATGTCATGATTTTTTTTAATAACGATTTTATTGAGACATAATTAAGATACCATAAAATTCAGCCTTTTAAAGTATATAATTCAGTGGTATTTAGTATATTCACAGAGTTGTGCAACTAAGTCATGGTTAGTTAGTGTTCTTAAGTAAGTTTCCTCACTCCTCAATGCTTCTGTTTCCCCTCTGTAATAACTACAAGGTGTTATTAGTGTCAGGGAATAAGTGGGCACACGTCAGATCATTTCAGCTGCAATTCTGGAGAACAGTTATGGTCCTGCCAGAGGCCTAAGCACTATTTGGAAAGAAACCAAAGTGATGGTTTCTAAGGATCAATTTGATGACACCTGCAGAGAATTTTGCCTGCCTGGGTTCTGAAAGGTTGTTTAGTCCAATGAAGCAGAGGCCTGGAGTCAGGGGCTAGGGCACAATCTCAGCTATACCATTTCTCCAGGTCTGGACCTTCTTCTTGCCCTGTTCCACTCATCTCATCATCCTCTGCTCATTCAACATCCACACTGCTCTGGGTTCTCAGGACCTACCAGACTGTTTGATTTTAGGTCCATTTGGTGAAGCTTGTGTACTATTGGCAAATGGGCTGTCTTGAGGGCGAAGCAATACCTTAGAATATTAAAAACAAATTTAATTGTATCTGTGAAAGTCCCACCTTTTGGTTTTTCCTCTGAATATCAGCTGAATTTTGTTTCCACATCTCATTCTATTCAAGGGGGTCCTTCTCCAAGTTAAAGTAGTCCACTTTAACTTCCTGTTACACTCAAAGGGAATTCCTTAAAGGACTTGCCTTAGGGCCTAAATAGGCCTGTGCCTATCATTAAGAACCAAACATTTTCTCTGTGCTGGGACTCTTAGGAACCCGTATTTTGGGTTCGCAGTGAACTCAACTTAGAACTGATACCTGAGAGTTGCTACTGATACCTATCAAATTCCTCTTTTCCGTAAAAACAATCTGGGGAGCTGTTCTTGGCTTATGATGCAGTAGGAAGAATACTGACTTTGCAGTAAGACTGTTTTTGTTTGTTTGTTTGTTTGTTTTGCAGTACGCGGGCCTCTCACTGTTGTGGCCTCTCCCGTTGCGGAGCACAGGCTCCAGACGCTCAGGCTCCGGACGCCCAGGCTCAGCGGCCATGGCTCACGGGCCCAGCCGCTCCGCGGCATGTGGGATCTTCCCGGACCGGGGCACGAACCCGCGTCCCCTGCATCAGCAGGCGGACTCTCAACCACTGCGCCACCAGGGAAGCCCAAGACAGATTGTTTTTATATTACAGCTCCAACATGTGCTACCTATAACACCTTGGGCAAGTTTCTAAATCTGAGTCTCTTTCTATACCTGTGAAATGAGGATAATGCCAGACATGTGAGAATTAGAT